CAAAATGTGAAATTGGCCCAGCAGCTCAAGAGATACCGTTGGGGAAAGGAGAGAAAGAAATAGAATGAAGGAATAACTGTTTTATTCCGGGAAAAAGCGGTAAAAACCGTGAAAAATCCATTGGATCCGCTCGCTTTTTCCAGAAATTCTTCATGGAGAAGTACGGCGTGGAATTCTTCCCCCTGGTAACATACTTGTCCAGTTTTATTACCTCAGCCTAGAAACCCCTTGAATACGGCCCGTTTACTTTAATCTCTTCAATACATTTTTAAACGTTGGAAAAGTTCCTATTGGATCAATACCTAACAAAAACTGTAATTCTCTATAATTGCAATTGAAGTATGTATGACCCAATAGTGTGCCACCACCTTTGACCATCATCCTCATAATCTCAATTAATTCCAAAATCCATAATAATTCACAACGTTAATCTCATAATCTTCGAAATAAAACAGGTGATTTTTCCTAAAATCGTACTCGATTAACAATATCTTATGGATTTCCCTTAGAAGCGTAATTAATATAAATTTTAGCTGGTTATCAAAGCAAAATAAATCCGTTACAAAAATTTCCACATTCATGGAGGTATTAATTTTCGTTCCTGAGGCATAATAAACCTCTCCGTATCTTCCTACAGACCAGATTTTCAATAGGGTTCTAACATCTTTAATAAATCTAAAGTCTTAAGCTCAAAAGTAAAAAGAATTACTTTACTTAATAAGTTCCAGCGCATTCATCCTTGTAATCAAAAGACCATAAAAAATAGCCAAAGAACCTTACTATCTACAAAAAACACAACACAGTTTGTTGTTTTCACCGAACCGGATTTCAAGCTTAAAGTTCTCATCATCAGGTTGAAGGATTTTCAATCTGATGATGAACTTTTAAGTTTGAAATGCGGACGTTGAAATCAAAAAATTGTGAGTAGGTATAGTATACACAGGACCTTCACAGAAACATAAAATGTGTTCTATGATATTCTCCTCTTCCTGGCATTATCTCTACAGTGTTTCTTCCTATCCGGGTGCATGTGCTTTCTTCAGTGGCACTACTCGGACTGGAGTCCTTAATTCTTTAAGTTTTGTGGATGGCCCTTCTATGAATCTCTTCGCGTCCCTTATACTTGTGGTTTTGTTCCACCAGGTTTTGGGCTCATTAGGAGGATCACTTCCGTCAGGCCCTCCATGCAGTTCCAAACGCTCATTTTCTTCACCTAGCATTCGGCTAGGGCCTTTAGCGCTGCCAGACTGTCAGAAAAGATTTAAAAGCCTTTTATTTTCCTGACGTAGTGTTCAATAGCTATGATTTCAGACTGAAAACTGTAGCATATTTACCTAGGTTTACCGTCAGTTCAGTCTTTGGGATCATCCCGAAGAGTTCAGCCAGCGTCATAACTACGAGGAGAAAATAATATACGCGCATATTTATAACACTTATTTATAAATTATATATAAATTATTATTATAAAAAAAGATCTTTAGTTATTTTAGCTTTCAGGGGTTCATTAATAATTTGTTTTATGGTTTATTGGGAATCTTAATTTTCTCAATATATTTTACGGATTCGGAAAAGCGTTTGATATAAACGCTCGTTTATCTCAATAAAAGCCTAATTTAATATTTGATTTTTTTCTGGGAATACGAAAGCCCACTTCTGGTTCGTATAGACCTTCACCCGAGGTGACGACCTCATAGATCTTTGTCGCCAACCTTACAATTTCGAATTGAATATATTGGTGGAAAATTTGTAATTAAGTTGTCGATACTGAACCTGTAAAAATACTGCCTGGATTGAATTTAGTGGTAAACCAGGTCAATTTCTCACTGGTCTTAGCTGACATAAGTTCTTTCGTCTTCAGATGTCTTGATGACTCATAAAACAAATGAAATAGACAGAACTGGCAACCGGTCCTGTTAACATCTTCCAACTCGTATTGCTACTCTAACGGTCCTGCGTTCGAAACCCGGCGTAGCCCATGGATTATCAATTCTGAATACAACGGAGAAAGTGGTTTGATCCCTTATCTGCGATACCCAACGGCTTAATCCTAAGCTCTCCTGTATGACAGGAATTACCTGATTTTGGTAGACATAACAATATAAAACATTACTTTCTGAAGAAACACAAACCTTTTAAATATCGGATGAAGCAAGATCTAGTATGAAAAAAATCTATATTCAATAAGGGCATCTGTTGCAAAAAAATTCTAACTAGGGCGGCTATAGAATTTTAGTTTTGCCTATGAAATTATACGTTAGCAGTTAAATTCATTAGTTTTCGTGGTCCGCTTGACCAAATAATATCTTTCAATTAATTCATCTGTATTTAAGGTATTGGTTGAGATAATAGTGTCACAAGCGGGATTCGAACCCACGACCTTCGGCTAAATACGCCGCTGCTCTACCACGTGAGCTATCGTGACTCGGACACCAACTTCCCATCTCAACCTCACCTTTTGAATTTTCCCTCCTTTTTTGCCATTTTTCAAATTTCGTGTAATCTATTTGATTCTCGGCGACAAAGGAAATGGCCAAGGAGATCTTTAGTGAAGGTATACTTCATTTTTAGCAGTTAAGTTTGGAAATTTGTTGTCCGCAATAGAGAAGAGCTTTGGCAAGGGCAACCTCTCAAGCCCATTATTACAGCTAATTTATTCTTCTGTTTCTGATTACATCTATGTTAATTCCTCTGTTTATATGTCGGTTTGCCTGATTTCAGCGAGTGAAGTTAAATATGTTCAGTTTTCCTTCAATTTTTACAGTTATCTGCTAATATCGAGAAAATTTTGCCTTTTGGTACCAGTTTAACTTTGGGGGGGGGGAGAAAAATTAAAAACAGCGCATAAGGTTAGAAAGAAAAAAAAAGGTACTATTAAGCAAAAACCGCTTCCTAGAACCTGTCCAATCATCAGCAGCAGCTTCATCATCCTTATCATCATCGCACAATTGCAAACTCAATATATCCCCCCACCTAATTTATCCCCTTTTGCAAATTTGTTTATGTTGAACCCCTAAATCTTTCGCAATGGCTAGGTTTACTCTGACATCCGGTGTAGATCCCTACCTGGATCTCTTTCCAAAGTACGCCGCAGGTATCTGAGAATCAAAAGAGGGAGACAAGGGATCGATAGCGGACCATGTCGACTTTCGCCAGCCCTAGGAAATTGTTCTGTTGTCATTTTTTAGATTATTCCAGAATCCTAGTTTAAATGAATTATAAATTATGCCGCATCAATTATTCATCCCGACGAAGAAGACAAATGACATCAGATGGGTTGGGTTCATTTTTATTCGGGAAAAACTTACTTCTTCTTTGATCTCCTTTTTTCCATCTTCGGGCAAGTTTAATCGATGAGTTAAGACCAGTTGAAGCCTAAGAAAGTTCAGAAAAAAAACTGGTCGAGAGAAGAAAAATTGTTAACTTGATTAACATCTATTAAATGACTAGCAATCATTTAATCATAATTTTGAATTTGTGTAAATTTATTATTACGTAGAAAATTCTAATTTGTTATGATTTAAAAAGATAAATCAACAATATACTGCTTTTTTGCTTCTTTTAACAAACGTTCTGTAAGCAAAGTAGGTCAAAACTTGAATTTGATCTCATTGTCGTGATTATAGCGTTATAAAACCCTTGGATACCGACTTTAGCGGAAATCGGTATAAAGTAATTTTTTCACTGAGAATTTCGGCGACCTTAGAAATTTTTTTTATCGAAGTTTACTTGAAAAATATTTGGTTTAACAATTTTTTGGTTATTGATTAACGTTGATATCTGTTCCTATATTTTTATTGCAATCTGCATCAAAAAATGATAAATTCACAATTCATTCGTAAAACGATATATTCACATAATTTTTATAACGGCGAAACAAAAGTATTTTTTAAAAAACCCAGGGCCTATTTGCAAGAAGTGGCGTTTACGTGTCCGATATTTTGGAGTGGAGAACCACCAAAAAAGGTTTCCAAATCCATGACATACCAACCTTATCGTCATTTTGTGAGACAAATTTAACTTGTTGCAGAAGTAGAAGGGTGGGTGAAACTGGTCGAGGGCAGAAGGTCTTGTGGTCGCTTCCTCTATCCTTATCCTATTTATAATATGGTTCTTCTCATTTATTCGTTTTCTTTGCACTTTTGTCCATCTACAGAAGAAAAGGCCACGTGCACCGGATAGGAGTACATACAGAAGAAACACTGTCCAGATACTGCCAGTTAGAGGAGGAGACCGCAGAACACATTTTGTGTTTCTGTGAAGGTTTATGAGGTGTAGATTTTTGCAAATAGGAGAGGAAAAACCGCAAGCAAGATCATCATTAAGGAGTCGCTGGCAAAGCTGGAGGTTAATGAATAATTTAGCTGGCCAACGTGTAAAAACCAGAGGAGCACAATAGACTTACTCAGGTCGAGGTACGGAAGGCCTTAGGGCCGTGCCTTTCGTCCTTATCCTTGTTTGGCTTTTTAATATATAGGTTTGGTGATTTTCCAGCAATTTGGAAAGTATCCCAGGAGAGCATGGCATTTAACAAACAGATAGTAGTAGTAGAGAAGTGCTTCCCTAGGTAAATTTTTAACATTGTTTGATCCAATCCTGCAGATTTGCGGTTTTTCCTTGTCCGCTATTATTTTTTTGACTTCGATAGGAGCTCAGATTTAACAGTTCTGCACTGGACGTGGGGTTACCCATGAACGCATTTAATTTCTTGGACATAATCCTGCTTAGGTATTGCATACCCTGATTTTCATGAACATAAGAAGACTTTTGTATGCTGTTACTTTGGATAATTGTTCAGACATGAAACGCTGATAGGTTAACTTAGTAAGGCAACTACAAAACAATTTAGACTAATGGATAAACTGACAGCTTTGATAGGATTTGAATTAGTGCATAAGTTATTTGCAAATTAATTAAATTTAAGTGATAATGGAATATAAATAAAAAAAGATTTTTTAGAAACAATTTTTGTTCAACATGTATTCAAAATAAAATAGTTACAGAATGTCTTCTTCTTTTGTTTATATATAATTTACAATATACAATAATAAATACTACAGTTAAATATAGCTATAATACATGATTCGAAGTAATAAAGGGTTTTTACGATAGCAAAATTACAACGTTTACAGACAAATTTACAAACAATTTTTCATATTTCATGAAACGCACTATTTAAATAGTTTGACAAAATTTACAACGTTTTTTTCCTTTCCATCTCATGTATTATTTACACTTTTTGTATCCTTAATTCATGCGGTAAACATGAAAGATTTGATTTCTCATTTTAATGTGAAATCTGCCAAAATTCAACGGATGAATAAATCCTGCCGGCAGTTTCGAGGCGGTATAAAATTTTTTAACAACTATCTTTGGAATTTGCACAAATAGGAAAATTGGGGGGGGGGGGTAACGTATTTATACAACACTAAAGCTCCGCGGACTTATGCAAAAATCTATTGAAATTTCTACCAGAGTTCAATTTTCAACAATCAAATCATTTTTAACAAATTTATATGTTAGAGCGGCACTGTTTTGTCCTTGCTAATATCACTAAAGCAAATCTACGCTAAATTATAAATTCATACCCGTTTTCTCCATTTTATGCTGTTAAATCTATCAAAAAGAGAGGAAAAAAGGAAAAATTATTACGATAAATGACCGATTGTTTAAAGTTCCAAATAAATTTTATGTATTTTGTTTAAAAATTACAAATTATCGGAGAAGAATAAATAAATTGAAAGGAAATAAAAATCGCTTAATATGAGTCGAGACTGTCTAAAGCTTGGTGTTTCCGATAATTCAAATAATCCTCTGAAATTTATTCCACAAAGAAAATAGTTTAAAACACATTTTGATAATCAGTGACAAAATACGATAAAAAACCACCACAAACGGCATCAAAATTGAAAAAACCGCACGTACGATAACAGAGACCCACAAAAATCGAAATGACAACAGGACTCCTTGTACCCAGCAGAAACTTGATAACTAGGACAATAATTGCGCCTCAAAATATATTAATTTAATTTTTATAAATAAAAATTTAATAATTGACAAAGTGTTCTATCTATACGTTGTTTCATATAATTAGTTTTGTCAGAAAGATTGGCAGTCTTTATAGCGATTTTTTCCGTCTTAAAATTTATCAAATTTTCATGTATTATTTATTTTTCTAATATGATTGTAAAATCTTAAACTTTATTTTTCAAACATAAATCAGTCCACTCGGTCCGCTGTTTTGAGGTGTTTCTTTCACGCCTCAAATAGTAGGTTCGAAGCGTGTAAGAAAATGAAAAGAAATCCTTGGAAAAGTTAGGTGTAAATATGTAACTATAAATTTGGGACGTGTACAGTATACAATACAATCCTAGGCTTTTTAAATGTTAAATTAAACAATGAGAGACTATTCAATAAGGTGAAAATTGTTACACTTACAAAAGAAATGAGTATTTGAGAAGAAAAGTGATGTGACTCAGTGCGTGTAAGGGTATTCTTGTAGATAATCCTTCAGTGTCACTGGTATGTCGAGGTTAGGAACTGTATCACCGATTTTAAGTAACGAGTTTATTCTGAGTCTCGCGAGGTGCTTTAAGCTCGGAAACTTGGTCCTTTGGTAAAGCGGCTTTCTCAGGAGGATGTGGGAGTAATTGTGGCCTGTCCAGTCGACGAAGACGTGCTCCGTGTTGCAGCTCCTGGAGTTGTTGGAGGTGTAAATGTAGTATTCGACCAGCTTGACGACGCAGTCGAAGAAGGGGATGACGGGGCCGAGGGCCGGTTCGGCGTCCAGCCTGAAGTAGCCGTTCACGTAGTGTATCCTCACGCTCACGGGGCCCTTGAGCCCTTGGACGCTAAGGGAGAAGAGGTACCTCGGGTCGGAAGACTCCCTCACGAGGAAGGTGCCCGGTTTGGTTGAAGCGAGGATGCTCATAGACTCCTGCCAAGTGATGCCCTCGTAGAACCATCCGGACGCCTTGAGGCGCTTCATCGTCGCGGAGATCCTCTTCAGGTCGAGGTCCGACGGCTGGCTCAGGTCCGCCTTGGTAGTCGGCTTGGCGCTGATAGGCGGCGAAGGGAGGATGAACGTCAACGGGAGGGACGGAGACGCTTCTGGTGAACCTCCACCGCAGCATGGCGACCGGAAAGTGTGCTGACACCTGGGGCAGCTCGTCAACATCACCAACGTCCGCTCCTAAAAAGAAAAACAAGACATATCATTAAAAAATGGAAAGACAAGCTCACAAAAGACAGAACTGAAAATAGTTAAATATTGTGTACTCCGAGGTGAGTAGGTAAACATCAAACTTAGCATTGAAGGTCTCGCGAACCTCTCTGTCACAGAAAACACCAACTGCACCAAGGAAGTTTCATACAAAACCAGACCACTTAGATAATTCGACTTTATCTATACTACAGAATGATAAAGAAGAGGAAAAATGGATTTTACCATATTTTTTTTAAATAAATATTTTCTTCACCTCTCCCATATATGTACATATTTATCTCACCTTGTTTGAGAAAGTAAATAATTTAAAATTATTTTTAGTTAGTCGCGATTATTTGCAAATGTTTTAGTTTTCTTGTTTTTCCAGCCTAAAGTTCTGATGATACATACGGTAACAGACTCTTTTCTTTATTTATCCCATTCTCTGTACGCTCAGGACCTCGTATATTGGGTATAAAATAACGAATGACAAGCACAAATACACATAAAAACACACACAAGATAAAACATATCAGTCTTGCTATCATCTGTGTACTACAATACTCCACGGGTTGATTGAGGAATGCTCCTCCATTCGCGCTAATAAATTACATTTATACACCACATTTCATAGTGTTCTTTGAGCAAAAACGTTCGAGGACACCATCAATCGTTAGTTATTTATACTGTTTTCCCTGTATTATTTTGTTTTACTGTTTTCATGTCTTTCAATTAATGGAAAATAATTAAAAATTCTAAGCTTTTTTGCATTTCGACGCAGAGTTTGCAATGCCAATAACGTTCTTTGGTCCTACCCGCTCCTTCCGAGTAATAGAATTCCGAGCATTTTCTTAAAACCGAAAGACAGTTGGTAGTTTATACTTTTGTCAGCCTAGTTTTAAGCGCCAGCCAGGTAGTTTTTTCCTAATTGATGGCCCTCTCGTACTCATCTACCCAGGTAGAAATTCTAGCCAGTGTGATTTTCTACACAATCGGATTTCAAGGAGCACAATGTTTTTCCAGGAAAGAAACATTTCCAATGGTATTAGTATTTTCATTTTTAAAATCTTAGAAATCAAGAAAACCGGAATGGACGAAAATATCTCAATAAAGTTTAGTTTAGTCTTTACGCTGATAACAGATCAAAACAATTTGAAAAATTATAAATTAGCCTAATTAATTTAAACAACAATATATGAGCAATTTTGTTCCATTACCTGACGCCATCTTTCTCGTAATTTTATAATTCCCGCCTCCAGAATATCTGTGGTTTTTGAATGACTTCTCGACGTTCACCCTGCTTTCACAAGTGAACTTTTTCCCAATAATACGTTTTTCAGAACCCGGTATAAGTGAAAATCTGAAGAGGCAATGTCAGGCTAATAAAATGGATGTGGTAGTACATCTCATTAAAGTTCAAAACTTAAGAGGCGAGTGTTTAGGTCATTTTTGGTTATTTGCTGCTTTTAATCAACCCAATTGGACATAGTATAAACTAGAACTAACGCTTTGGTTGAAAAGAAGCTCATTATAAAAAACATCCCTTTCGACCCCACGAAACGCGATATAAGCCTAAAAGCCTACTGGTAACTGTGGAACGCTGCGTTTTCCCCAGGATTCCTTTTTAAACGTTGCTGTAAAAGACCCACTTTAAAATCCTCAGTTATTCTTTTTTTAAAAGATGGAATCTCAGACGGAGAAGAACCCAGGAATCATCCGATAAACATATCCGAGATACGTTGGAACCGTTATAAGAAATATGTTTTTCTGCGATACTCGTATCGTTGGGTGTGGATCATTTATCACAAAAAATTGAATTTAGCCATTATCAAAGGCTGAATATCAGATCGTCTTTACTCTTGCAAATCAACATTTTTCTGCTTCTGAACAGAGCATCTTGTTTTCTTATGTTTAAATATTTTTACTGGGGTCACACTGCGTAGTTAAGAGTGAGTGAGAAGGGTTTGGATGGAACTGATTGCTTTGGGTGCTGAAATGACCTAGCACCTGAAGACCAACCTCCACGTCTTCACCGATAAGGTCATGGCCTGACCCAGGACTGCCAACACGGGTGATTCTCGAGACCTGCCGGTGCATTGTAAAGTAGAAAAGCTGGTATTGACAGATAGGCTCAACTCTGTTCATGTGCGTGCAGATTTGAGCTTATATAAATCAGAAGTCATCTTTTTTTTATACTTTGTCTCCAAGCAGGCGATTTCAAGACCTCACCGGGGTATAATACATTTCCGGTGGAAGAAGGTTTCCTGGTTTATTAACGATTATTATATGTTCCAAGAAAACTGTTTTCGCCCCCGAACTATGATGAAATGGTTAAATACATTTCAAGGGTTATCGATTTTGAGACCCCATCGCTGGTAATTATCTCCTCACCACATCCGCCCTTTCGCCGCAAATCTTCCTATATTCTCAGAGCCTATCGTTCCTCAAACTAGAACGGAAAATTGCAAATTAACTCGGACTGAAAACGCTTTACAAGCGGTAAGATGCGCAATAATAAATAATATCCGTCAGACAAGGCCGAGTGCATACAGCGTGAAACCATTTCTCGGAATTTTCTTTTTTCCCGTTGCGGCGTTTATTCGCGTAATGTGGCGTTTCGAAAATCTTCCTGCTTTTTTGCTTTCAACAAGCAACGAATCCTTGAAAACTTAATTCACACCAATTGCAACAAAACTGAGCTGATACTTTGTCATAGGGACCATGACTGGGAGGGGATCCATGAAGATTAATAAATTTTCCTCTATTTTAAACAGACTATAGCCTTAGGGGCCTTGCAGAAAGCACAGTCCTCACCCGTTCTGTAGAAATCTTCATACAAGAACTTCATACGAGAAAATACTAAGGAGACTAGGTTTCTCACATAAAGTAAAGAAATTCCAGTTATAAGGTGGGCTTCACGTTCAACTACCCGTTGGCGTACGAGGGGTCAAATCAATTTACAATACCTTTTAGTTATTATTACCAACTGAAATTCCACTGATTGTGTCGGGATGTTCACGAGACAACTGCTCACTTTTCCATATAGCCAATTTCAAACACCTGATGCCCCAGAGCTGTGATACAGACGGGAGGTAAAAGCCACTTTACAATACGTCTTTCCAACTATTTTCAATTGAAAAAACCTTGGATTGAACGGGCATTCGAACCTAATACTTCTAGCGTGGCAAGTACGAGTCGGACGTCCTAGTCGCTCGGCCACCGCGGTGGCCCTAAATTTTCACATATTTACAGGCGGTAGTAAAATTAATGTAATGAGAGTGACTATAGTAACCTTCAATAAAATGCAAAGAAGGTTGAGATGGAAAATTAGTGTCACGAGTGGGACTCGAACCACGACACCCGGATAGTACCCAGGAGCAAATCCAGTTGAGCTATTCTGAGTCTCGCTCGTGACACCAATTTTTTCTTTTCAACCTTCTTTGCACTGTATTAAAAACTAGTTAACAAAATTAACAAGTAACTGATAAAATAAATTTCAATAAACATTCGGGAATCATCCCCGCTCCCTGAGGAACCCAATACTGCGATACTACAGAGCCAGCCAATCTTGATAAAAATAACTTTTCTTTTTTTTACAAATAACATTCTCGCTGCATGAATACTATGCTGAAAGATTGTCTTTGAGAAAGTCAAAGGCACATTCGGCAATTCATAGGAACGAGAAAGGAAATTTAGTGAATTTCTAAGTGAAACTCTAAAAAGTACGACTACAAATAAAGGAGGACAGAATGGGAAGGACTTTAACGGACCAAGGACATTTAATTTTATACGAATGAAGACCTGACTATTAATAGTGACTAAATTTTAAAAATACAAGTTGAGATAGAAAGTTTTAAGAACTGTCACAAAGAAACCGAAATTGGAAAGAACTAACATATTATGAACCTGCCTGAAACGATCTGGTCCGCTTATTCTCGCTATAACCCAGCCTAAAATTAATCGATCAAGAAAAGAACGCAATGCGCATTATATTAATTTTAATTTGGCCTGCCCATTTTCAGTGTTGGATCCTGTCTATACACTCTTTATCTACTGTGATAATTGTTGTTAGTACTCTTTATTCTACCAGGCTACGATTTTCAATGAATTTAATTGCTTCGTTTTTACCAGTTTTCCTTTCATCAAACGTCACGCTATTGCGTCAAAAATTGTGGAAAAAACGAGACGGATCAGAGATGAGCTAATTCTCGATAACCGAGCGCCTGGGAGGCGCCGTTGATCCAATCGACCTTAATAATTGATTACTGATATCGTTTACGTAAAAAATCCTTAAGGTTATCGTCGCTTCAAACGGAAACCGTATTTTAATTTTGAATAAGTAGTCATCTGGGTGAGCAGAAGGATTCTCAGGACAGGACCTTGACAAGTGCATCTTAAATAATAAATTAATACCAAGGGACTTGAAGGTCTATATTAAAAGTTCGACTTTCCAAAAAAAAAGTTACTTGAAGGTCTATATTAAAAGTTCGACTTTCCAAAAAAAAAGTTTAAGACAGCCGTTATAATTTTCCCCTCGCTAGTTAAATTTTAAAACATTTTAAAAGCTCTGCTGCGTTCTGCGTTTGCAGTACCCCAGTTTAATTTAAGTAAATTTCATCGATCCGTGATGAAATCCGTATGGATTAGGAATTCAAATAGCCGTGTCAAAACAGTTTTAAAGCGGTTAAAAGGCGGAAGTGCTTAATGGGAAAACATCCGGCTGGTCGAGGAGCCCTGAGTCCTTTCCATATGGTAAATATCAAATCAGAAATAAATCTTTAAGATCAAACACGTTCGAATAAATGATCACCGCAGTCTTAAAAACTGATTATTTAGTTCTATACTACAAAATAAAATTAGAATATGGCAATAGAAAGCATATAATACATAATAGCTTTATTAGGCAGAGTATATATCTCGGGGGGAAAGAAATTGGACAAAAATTCCAGGGTCGGCGGCGGAAATCGAACCCACGACCGTATCTGACA